GAATCGTCACACTGAGTGTTTTATGTCGGATGCCCTTCCTGACGCAACCCTGACTCAAACCCGGGCTGCAGCGGTGAGAGCGTAATTTGAAAATAAAATGAAATAATACCTATGGTAAAGCTCTTATTGATTGCATGGTCAACGACAAACTGCAATGCCTTGTTGGCCTACCAGGGGCCATGGACCACTGGTTGAAAACCTCTTAAGGTGTTTGCAGTAGCAGACCTACAGCAACAAATGCTGACAAAAGGAAGGATAGAAGATTGAGACAGATGAGGGGTGACCTCATGTGGTCATTTTTGCTCATTACAACTGCAAAGCCAGGGCTCCCATAAGTTTGCAGTATGCTGTGACAGTTTTTAAATAGAGCCTCGTTGTTAATTTAATTGCTAGATGTGGGTTATCCTCACTCTCATTTAAGCATTTTGGCTTTGAAAGGTGGATCTGTGCTCAAAAGAGGGCAATGTCCCGGAGTCAAATTCCTAGTGTGTTCAACACTCCTGGCCAATAAAGCAGATTCTGATTCTGATTCTGAAATTGGTTGCCATTAAAGCCAACTCGGCAGCTTGTTTCAAGCACTTGCATGTGAATTAACCACTGCACAGAATATGAAGAATATGTAAAGCTTATGAGATAGAGTTCCAAGACTAAAGCAGCCAAGGCACCAGCACAAAAACACACAGCAGACATTAAAAAACTGTGCAAAAAGTGCTTTCAGTGTTGTTGTGGGCCACTGTTTTATGTTGTTTTTTAAAATAAATCAGTACGTGAACTGTTTTCATTAATATCATTAGGTCACAATTAATTGGGTCTGTGTTGGACCCTCCACAGCCTACCTGCACAGAATATGAAGAATATGTAAAGCATCAGTTGAGATGTGTGATTGTTTTCTACAGTTTTTTTAATGAGAATGTTGCCACTATAAGGGATTCTGTTCCTCAGCCAAGGCACCAGCACAAAAACACACAGCAGACATTAAAAAACTGTGCAAAAAGTGCTTTCAGTGTTGTTGTGGGCCACTGTTTTATGTTGTTTTTTAAAATAAATCAGTACGTGAACTGTTTTCATTAATATCATTAGGTCACAATTAATTGGGTCTGTGTTGGACCCTCCACAGCCTACCTGCACAGAATATGAAGAATATGTAAAGCATCAGTTGAGATGTGTGATTGTTTTCTACAGTTTTTTTAATGAGAATGTTGCCACTATAAGGGATTCTGTTCCTGCTCCTGTGTTAGATCCTTCAGACTGTGCCCCTTGTTTGGCTGTTTTTGATACATTTGAGCCGGTGACTCTCCCATTTTTGGAGGAGGTGGTTAGCCAGGTTAAGCCATCTGGCTCCCCTAGAGATGCTATTCCCCCGTCCTTATTTAAGGAGGTCTTTCCTTGCATAGGAATGTTGGTTCTGGCTATTATTCATAGCAGTGTGTCCTCTGGCGTTGTCCCTGGACAGTATAAGCATGCAGTCGTGCAGCCGCTGCTTAAGAAGCCAGGTCTTGATCCTTCTAGTTTGAGTAATTTTAGGCCAATCTCTAAGTTGTCTTTTATTACGAAAATTTTAGAGAAAGTGTTTTTTATACAGTTGAAATCTTTTTTAGATAAGCAAAATGTATTGGAGATTTTTCAATCTGGTTTTAAAGCTCGGCATAGTGCAGAGTCCGCATTATTAAAGGTTTTTAACGACATCTACTTGGCAACAGATGCTGGTGGTTATGCATGTGGATGATGTACAGATGTATTTGCCACTGAGGGGAAGGGACACATCATCAGTTGCATCACTATTGTCATGTTTTGATGATGTTAGGAAGTAGATGACCTTAAACTTATTGAAGTTGAATGATACGAAGACTGAGGTTATAGTGTTTGGTCCAAATAACTGGTGATTTTCCCCCAGTTGATTTCAGTATTTTGTATTTATTGTTATCCAGACAGTCATTCAAGAGCTTTGCCTAAACACAGGCTAACATTAGCAGAGCTATTAATGAGATCATGAAATATCTGATCAACAAATAATTATAACCAAAAATTTGATACAGATGACTTGAGAACTTGATGTGACTGATCCATCTGATGGTTTTCAAAAAGTTATTAGGTTCAATATCCAGCAACATACTGAGCTGACCAACTGCTCTTTTATGATTCGTTTCGCAAGGTGTACACCCATATCGACAACTATAAAGCCTCACTCGGTGTCTCACTGTTTGATAAGCCATTAGACGACTTCCTGGTGTGTATTTCATCATCTCAGTGATACCCTGGAGCAACATGTAAATAGCATCCCAGCCCAACACAGTGCTGTTTGCTGATGTCAGTCTGAATGTGGCATGAGAGACGGTGCATTCCTCTCCCGCGAGGTCCGCCTATCTGGAATGCAGGCAGTTAAATGATCCTATCTCAAGTCAGTGAGCAGGGAAGAGACACAGAGATGAAGGGTGTAAAAGTGACCATATCACACCTATTTTTGCTTCCCTGCATTGGCTGCCGGTGTGTTTTAGAATCCATTTTAAGATTCTTTTATTTGTTTTTAAATCTTTAAATGGTTTGGCTCCCCTTTATCTTACAGAATTGCTACATCCCTATAGCCCCTCCCGGTGCCTCAGATCGGCTGACCAGCTGCTCTTGGAGGTACCGAGGGCTAGGCGGAGCTCTAGGGGGGGGACAGAGCTTTTTCTGTGGGGGCGCCAAAGTTGTGGAATGCATTGCCCCTTTATATTAGACAGGCCCCCTCGATGTCCACTTTTAAAATCTATTTGAAGACTCATCTGTATCGTCTGGCATTTGAACCGGTATGATCCTGTGTCTTGTTGAGCTTGTGATTTATGATAGGGGGTTGTTTTAAGTATGATGTTTTTGTTTTGCTGTTCGTTTATGTTGTTTTTTAAGGGGTGTTGTGGATATTGTGTTAAGCACTTTGGTCAGCTTCGGCTGTGTTAAATGTGCTATATAAATAAAGTTGATGATGATGATGATTAGTAAGCAACAATTAATATGCTATTAATAAGTGTGACCTAGCACAATAGAAGACTTTTGGTGAATGCAAAATGCTTATTGTTAGAAAATCCCCCAAAAACATCCGGATATCTTTTTGTCAGTATCGCACAACTCTAGTGGAGATAAGTCTAAAGGTGGGAAAGCTTGATGACCTAGGTGGTTTATGTTTAAGTTACTGACATACAGAGTATATACTGTACAGAGCAGTTTTAGAAGACATATATATATATATATATGCTCCAACTTCCTCCACTAGATGGCAGTGATGAAGTTGCCTTTTCTGTCATGTTACAGCCAAATGTAGTACTGAGCTCCTTACCTGTCCTGTCAGAGATGCACTCAGTTTATTTCACATTATACACATTCCACCAGTTTCGTGCTACTCCACAGATACTGGATACTTAAAAGAGACTGATATTTCAGTAAGATGAGATATAGTAAGATGTACCTTAATAAGGATAATACATTAGTGGATGTCCCAAAGTCCCCACCATACTGTATTCATTTGCATGGCTTGGCAGTGATGATCCAAACCATATGAGGAGCTGAGTGGATCTGCAGAGACCTAGTGAAGAGGGAGGCCACCCACAGCCCTCACTTACTGCTGTCTTTTTGTCTTTCCTCCCCTCCTAGGTCAGACAGCATTCCTTCGATGCCCTGGGGATCTCCGCTAAAGAAGGCAACATCATTCATTCATATACTACAGCATGTGCTACCTTCATTTCCCTCACAGTGATCAAAAGGGGGCATAAAAAATGACAAATGGGGAGACTCACATTACTTAGGCATTACTGCATATCTTTCGGTGTTTGGGGGTGAGAGAGTGCAGGAAGAGAGAAGAGCAGTGCAGATGTTTTGATCAGACGTGATAATGTAGAATATGAATCTCTAGTCAACTCGATTATGTAATTACTGAACAATGGATGGTGTTAAATAAAGATTCCTGTATTATATCCACAGTGTTTTAATGTTTTCAGCATTGCTTCCTGTGGCTATCTGTGTGGTGACTAAAGATGAGGTGGCAGACAAATATTCTTGATAAGATCTAATATAGCCTTGTTTTTTGAACTTGATATACTGCTCAAGGGCAGACCACCTTCACTCCCTCATTACCTCATCTGTCAGAGTTATTCTATCTACAGCTGTAGAGAGAAATATCAGCATTAAACCCAGACAGTCAACAAAATGAGGTATGACAAAGTTAAAGAGGCAAATTACTTAATTTATTCAAATACTGTGCTTGTGAATACTTTTAGGCATTTGATATTAATTTGATTTAGCATAATAGGGACAGAAACCCTTTTTGGAATAACCTTAGAAGTTAACTGCTTTGTTGACGTGGTCGTTTTCCTTCCTCTGCATTTACACTACAGAGAAGCATTATATAAATTTACTGATGCATCCCATTGCTTTAAAAGTTTACTGTTTCAAAACAAAAATGACATAAGGAATAAGTAGGCAATTTTTATTGGCAAATTTTCCCTCCAAAACCACATATAGAGGATTAGAAAGAGAAAACTATCACAATCAAACGGTGTAGTAAATATCTCTGAGCTATAGTACAGTACAGATGAAAACATCTGAGCCTCAGTGGACATAAAAACTAAATTTAACTGCTTCTTATAAGCATTATTATAAGATTATTATGCAACAAGGTATTTTTGTCAGTTGCTCAAATGGCTAAGCTTATCATTAGTTCAATTAGTCTATTCATTATCCTGCTTGAAGAAACACTTTTGACTATGAAGAAAACTTAATTTGAAGGTTAAAAAGTTCTTCTAAAACCTACTCAAAGTCTTTTCCAGGATTTAATTAGCCTTTAATTAGTCTAATATGGTGTGAAAATGTCTTGTGAGGTCATTTGAGTGCCCAGCGTCTGGCGTCAGAGGGCTTGGATCATTTCCCGACTCTGGAAATTGAGTCAGAGTCAAACTGTGTCCTGCCCTGGCTTATTACTGGCTGAGAGGATCGCCCATCCCAGCAGCATAATTCCATCTGGACTAAATATTTATACAGAGGGGGAACGACATCACTTATCCACAACACATTCATTCACATAAGGGAGAGCTACTTTCAGAGCTGAGCTCGAATGGTCAGCTCTGCTTGCCAGAGGAACATAACTTCTTGTTGATATTTGCTTAGTCACGCTTTCAGAACAAGGTTTTGTACTACCCAGAGCGCACAATGAGTGTTTTCTTTTTCATTTTTGAGGTGATTCTCATTTTGTATCAGCTTGGGAGGAATCCGGCCAGTGGTGAGTTGAGTGTGCCAGTTTGTCCTGCTTTTAAAATAATAGGAAGAAATCTCTTGCTACCATACTGAGGTACTTTTCCCCCCAGAATTCAAATTTATGTACTGTCTCGTGTACTTGACTTTTGAGAAAATAGTGTATATGTTTAAACAAGTTGTCTGCACTTTGTATATAGTTAGTATATGTGTTAGGGTAACCTAACTTCTGATAACTAACCGCTAGTACTACTACTAACTAACTACTTATTCCACTATCTCCAGCTGGAATGTGCTGGCTGCAGCATAGTCAAAACCAACGATGCAACACGGTGCTGATGAGAGGGGTGACCAGAGAGGAATGTTGTGCTGGAGGTCATCTGGACACAGCGTGGTCCAACACCAGTCTGCCCATGAATGAGGTCCACCTGCTGGGCTTGCTGGGAATTGTTTCCTGTAAACCATGCAAAGGTAAACAAACAAACATTAGAAAAACAAATTAGTTGAAGATACAAAGTAAATCACCTGAAAGAATTACTTATGAATTGTTTTGACTTATCTCTGCAGGTATTAGTGTTAGTCATCTAATGCTGTATTGAAACACGGTCTTTATAAATCCACATTTAAACAACCACATTCTGAAAAAACTTAAAAATATTTGACTACTACTATCAGCTGGGGTAAGCGCTGGGAATTTTAATCTCCATATTGATATCATTTACAGACTTGAACCAAGAGATCTCAGGACCATAATTAATAAATTGGCTATCCCATTACACAAACAAAATAACTCTTATAGCTCCCTGAGAGTCAGTGAAAGTTAATTTGTGCCACGTCATTTGTGAATCAAGATATTTACACCATGAGTTCCCGATGCAGCTTTCTAACAAAATGCAGACGTGGATTAAGGAGCGGCATTCCACATAACTCCACCCAGCTGTGCTGAGAAGCTGCCTCCTCTGGAATCTTTGCAAGGTTCATTCAGGTTCACTTGCTGATTAATTCTGTTTTCATAAACAACACTTGTGCTTGTGATTGGAGGCCAAAAATCTGAATTTCTTCATGTTGATAAGTTCCAGTGAAAACCTAGCTACTGGCAGTTTTAGGAAAACACACCCTGAGCAATGAGGTTTTCTGGACTCACATGGTTAAAAGAAACAGAGACGTGGGCTGTATTTAGATAAACTTGAAATAAGCTAAGAGACCACAGTCAAAGGTAGCCTACAGCTTTATAAAAACGACTCTCACATAAATATAAACAGCTGTATCGCATGGAAAATAAATGAACTTAGTAGAATCACAATCAATGTTTTCCAAACTAGTTTATAAAAGGAGCCATGTTTGTTTCTGTAAATAAAATAAGAGCATAAATCCCTAAAAGAATAAATGTCTGCCACATGTCCAAATGTCAAGGACTCATAATGGGCAACACTGCCCTGATCATGTGGAATTTTACCATACGAAAATGTTAATATCACCAATATTGCATAAATAAAAGCTTGTCAGCTTAGAGAAAGACACCAATATCATCACTGTACTGATTTACTGACTGTAGTTTGTTTTTAGATGTCCCTTTATTGCTTAACACAGAGACAAGAAAGAAAGAAAAATATGTACATAAAGAGAAAGCCAATCTAGAGAGTAGAAAATTGACCATGGGGTTTCATGGTTGTTTAGAGAATCCTCTTGAGACAAAGCTGATCAGGCAACCTCTCTAAATACTAAGGAAGATCCTGGGAAGATACACTTACCCACTGTCTAAATGTATATTCTGCACTGTGTAGGATTACAGCTGATACTGTGGGGTGTCAAAGGAGCCTGGGGTTCCCTCATTTTTCACCCTGGAAACCTCTCTAACAGCCATTTGAACTCTATCTGCCTCAGTTCCCCTCTGCCCCTCTGCCCCTCTGCAGGAGCTTAGCCCAGTCTGTGTGCAGCATTACACTTAGATCTGTTATGAAAACATGCCAGCCTCACATTCCACTCAGCGAGACACCCCTGTGTGTAATGGTCTATAAAGAGTTGTGATTAATGTAAATATTGTGCAAAGTGGAAATTGTGTTATGGTCTGGGAAAACCCCAGATTTCAACTTGTTTTGTATGAAAATGCCTGCTGATTTGTTAATACAACAACATTACTCTGATGCTGTGCAATGGCCACGCACATATGAAACCACTCACTGTGCTTTTGTAGAGACTTGTGAAGGAGTCAAATGCAGTCCCGGGAAAGTGTGCAAAATGAAGATGAGCAGGCCACAGTGTGTGTGCTCTCCAGACTGCTCTCACATTTCCAGGAAGCATGCTGTGTGTGGCAGTGATGGGAAGACATATAAGGATGAGTGTGCTCTTCTGACTGCCCGCTGCATGGGACACCCAGACCTGGAGATCATGTACCAGGGGGAGTGCAAAAGTAAGCAAGATTTATGCTTTGTGCAAGCTAGGTTCTTCTGTACAAAAGAAAAATAATCAGTGATGATCTTACTTTTTTGTTGGGATTTGTTGGGTTTTCCCTCTGTAATAATAGTGATAACAGTAAGGTCTAGACCTTACTTTGTAAAGTGTCCTGAGATGACTTTTGTTGTGATTTGGCGCTATACAAATAAAATTTGATTTGATTTGATTTACTTTCCTCATATCTTACACAGAGTCATGCTCCAACGTGGTGTGTCCAGGAACTCACACCTGTGTGACTGACCAGACTAACAGCGCTCACTGCGTCATGTGCCGCACTACACCTTGCCCAATACCGATTTCGTCTGAGCACCCCATCTGTGGTAATGACAACATCACTTACTCTAGCGCCTGTCACCTCCGTCGGGCCACCTGCTTCCTAGGCCGCTCCATAGGAGTCCGCCACCATGGCCACTGCAACAGTAAGACTCCAGAATTAACTGTCATTTCATTTTTCACCTGTACTTACTTGAAATATGTATGTAATAATGATGATGTGGGTACATTTTGACTCCCTGTTTATCTTTCATGCAGATCCTCCTCGGAAAGCTTCAGATTTTAAGGGCAGTGAGGAAAATGCAGTCTAGGCGGACAGCTCCCCACACAGCCCATTACAAGGGATGAGTTGCTTAACAAACAAGTGTCACACCACTAGTTTCCCGTGATGACCTCTTTTTTGACAATCACTCCTCCTCCTCCTCCTTGTAAACAGAATGACAGTACATTTAATATGGAAGACCTCGGTTGGAAGACACTTAAACCTTAGTGTCACTGCCTCAAAAAGAACTGCAAAACCTTTCAATATGTATTAATCTTGTGTACGCTTGAGAGGTAGAGGCAGATCAATGCATGTGTCTCAAGATATAAATGAGCTCTTTGGGAGATGTGTGCATATTGTAAATAGAATATCACTACTATTTATTGGAGATGATATCAAGCTCTATTTATGTTTTATCCTAGCAACAAATCCATATATCCTCCGGAAAGGTGATGCAGAAAATGTATTTATTGTGTGTTGTTTATTGTGTATATACAATGGCGGTCACTTGCATTGGCATTTTACAACTTTTTACAGTTTTTACAGTCTGCATTCCCCATGAACAAACAGTTTTCCCTCCTAAGCTGATGGAAAGCAATGCTAGTTTGTTTGGAAAGTTGATTCCACGTTATAGTGTGGTTTCAGAACACAAACAAGAAGGGGACAACTACAGTTGTTCTGTATGTACCCTAGCTTTTGTCTGGGAGGTGAGGAAGGGGTTCAGCCTAAACAAACCTGTATAGTCTCACTCCCTCTCTCCCCCCTCACACATGTTTACTCTGGATGTTGATCCAAACTCTCAGCCACCCACTGTGACCACTAAAATTAACAGTTTGGTTGTGTTTGTAGGAGTCTCAGAGGACTGCTGGTTCAACCCCAAGCCCTCTACAATACCTCCTCTGTTGAACAATTGGCTTTCTTTGTAAATGCATTTTTGTAGCTCATACTAGTTCAGTCCGATGCTCTTTTGCTGCTTTGACTGGATTATTTCTTCTTAAGAGCTTAATGGACAGACAACTGTAATTAGCATCGTCTGATTAAAATGGACCGTAATTTCAGCCAGTTGGAACATACGTGGCTACAACACCTTAGATAAGTCGATTTGTTCAGTTTTTACACTGTTTAAATGGGTAGATATCAATACAAAAGGCCAAGTAGTCCAATTTAAAGTCAAAGCAGATGTGTAGAATATTTTGAATAGTCCTTATAGTGTAATGTGGAACATTTTAATGACTCTCCTGTAATAAACAATCTCATGTGTATCTACTGTGAAATTTGAATGATAAATGCATCAAAATATTTTTGTATTTTTGTACTGCCACTTCAAAACAACATAAAATGTAATATTTGTCACATTGTGTCCTCTCTCTTGTAAAACTTTTAAAAGAGTAGCACACTTACTGTAAATCTAGGAAAAAGTATGATTTGCATCCTGCTTTTCCTAATATATCTTTGTTCACCTCTGCCTATTGGTTGGCTACTACGAAGTAAAATGCAGTACATTTAATACACAATATTCAACTGAAACTCAGACAAAGGTGCACATTTTTAGATTTTTCTAAACTGTGTTACAATCTTAATCATAACCACTTCCAGTCAAATAAGGTTATACTTGCAACTTAATGGGAACTGAACACGTTTCCTCTCATGCTGGAGTTTAAGGTGATGGCTCATGCTATACGGACTCAGTTTCGGCATGCGATGGTAAGACCTCCTCTCCTGTGCGTGCAGTGGCTAAGACAACTCTCTGATAGATCTCTCAAAGCCTCATGTGGGAAGCCGAAGGAAATCAGATCCAGGCTGGGCAGCTTTTCTACACTGCTCTCCTCAGGGATATCCTCCTGCTCTGGATTAAGTAGATGGGGTCAGGGGGATGGAGGATGAAGCAGCTGAGGAATGAACATTTCAAAGTGCTGAGGCCTGGGCACTGACCCGCTTGCTTGTGTACCTTCCTTGTTTTTCTGACTTTCTCGCTACGTTCTCTGTATCATGTGCTCCGTCATGCAGCAACAGCATCTGGTTCAACTTTAGGGAGATGTTTGTATTCCTGTCCAACTACCCTTTTATTACATTGGGAATGGAATTAGATGTTTTGTTAGTTTGAACGGGGCAAACAGCAATGCCACTGAGGGGCTGGTACTGTGCCCACATATATGACCCAGAAAATGGTCTGTTGTCTGTTGCTTTCTATTGTGAAACAAATCATACAAGATCAATTAATCTGAGGACATTTCTTACAAAACCTTAATGCCATCACTGCCACACAAATGTATCAGGCAGATTTTGTCATAAGACTCGTAGTCACGAGCTCAATTTTGCCCACTGAAGATGTCTGGGCAAAGAGGCCCTCACACCAGTCTAGTTTGGCATCTTTGAATAAATATAGAGGGAATGCTAATTGCCTAATATGAGCTTCATTATGTCAGAGGTATGTTTATCCAACCACTCCTATACCTTTACAAGTGTAAACCATTTAAAAAATTCTTTTGTGACCCACACAATAAACTCACAAAACCAATGTTTCTTGCCATAGTTTAAAAAGTTGCAAACCCACAAGAATTTCCAATGAACACCGACTAAAATAAAGAATTTTCCACACGTTTGGATGCATATGTTGAAATGTCTGTGGTCTTCCAGTAAAATACACAAGTGAAAAATGAGTTGAAGCAGCAGTTTTGGTACATGTATCTGGACAAACCATTCCAATTGATGCAAGTTGTTCAAGACAAATAAAACCCCATTTGCTTTTGTCATTATGGCCATGTAATCCAATACTGATTGGATTTGGTTCAGGAACAACCTGCATGTCATTACCACACAGCCCTCTGACTGATGTCAGATATGATGTGCCTCAGTCACACCAGTGGTGGTAATGACATGACCACAGAGTAAACCTATGAGCCATTTCAGAGCCACTCTAATTACACTCAACATGAAACCTCAGGAATTCTCTGCCTACTTTACTGTATGCTTCATCTGTTTTTTTTCTACATGCTATGGTTTGTGGTGCGGCCAACGAGATGTAAGCTTCATTTCCACTGGAACACTGCTTTGCGTGTGTTTAGTTGTACAGTATGCTTGAGCATGTGGATGTGATTATAGGTGCATCTCTCTTGCTAGGGCTCACCTGTTATAAGCACAGGATCAGTCATACACATGACATCACAACCTCTGGCTGAGTTGTTTTTATTCCACCAAACAGATGGGACTATAATATGACACCACACCTACATTTCAAGGATGCATAATCATCCTGCTCTAATATGTCAAGCTTCTTTCTCAACGACGTCCACATGGTATCATTTCCGCTACATTGCCTTACTACTTCCAGTAAGTTAACATCAGATCTGAAATGTTGTGATGAAACCAGGCACTGTGGAGTGTTTCTGAGGCCACCCACTCTCTGGATCACGCCACTGGATTGTAAACAGCTCCATCTCACATCTGAAACTAATAGATATCAGATCCATCACTCCATTAGAATATATCTGCCTCAGACATTTTTTGCCAGATGTGCTTTGCTAGATAGCAAGTCTTTTAAATTTCCACAGCATCTAATAAAGTTTTTTAGTTTATTGTGCTACTACAGAAGATGTTTTTTTTTGGCTTTCTTGGAAATGCTTTTAATTTTTTACCGTCTTTAATGTATATTTTATTGAGGCATAACACACTACCACTCAGAAAAACTGTGATCAACTGTCATTTAATAGTTTTTAGTTCTAAAGAAAATTACGGTGTCTTACAGAGGGGGAAACCTAATAGGGTAATGTTCAAAAGTTTCATTTTACTGTACCTGGCAACAAACCTACTGACTGTGCTTACACCGTAAGCATACTTCATTACACACTGAGCAATAATTGAAATTCCAGGCAGGTGTATGAGCAGCATTTGTCATTGATTTGGTAAGAATTAGATCAACAACAAAAAAAAAAAATCAGCAAAATTAGCAAATCAGCAAGTTGTGTTAATTGTTAATTCAGCAATGTTAATTGTCCCCAATTATTTTTGATGAATTCTTCTCAGGACCTCTGGGATCACGTATCTACAAGTTTTGTGTGTGGTTTGGCCCGAATGTACTAAGTCTAACAGGATGAAAATGCACTGGAAATACAACTAAATATACTGTAAGGCTTTGTAAAATGTTTTAAAAAGTATAGTTATTGTACTATAGTTATACTGTGTTACAGTATTCAGTAACAATTCAAGCATATCCTGAAACTCCTTTTAGATTTGATAGTGTTAGAGAACACCCCTGCCAGATTAAAGTATATGGGATTGCTGTCTCCCCTTCTTGGCACAGAAAAGGTCATTGAATTAACTTTGGTTTGAGTTCATTGTGAAAGCTGATTAGGGGGGACAACTGGGCTACACTTAGATTCAGGCCCCAGACCTGAATCAAATTGGGTCTAATTGTTTAATTTGAGGCTTGGAAGATTACCAGGCCATGACTATAATTTCACATCAGTCAACCTAAGCCACATGTCTTTGGACAGTGGGAGGAAGTCGGAGTACCCGGAGAGAACCCATGCAAGCACAGGGAGAACATGCAAAGAAAGGTCACGAACCCAGAACCTTCTCACTGTGAGGCAACTGTGAGGCAACTGTGCTACCCACCGCGCCACTGTGCTGACCTTCTTGTTTATCATGGAAAGTTGGTTGAGCATTTAATTAGTGTGTTTTGATGTGCAATGCAAATTCAGTCAAGGTGAGAATGGGAAAGTTGTCTTATTGGCTCAGGTTTGATTCAAGTTTGCTGGCTCTTTTTAGTAGAACAGCTACAATAGCCACTAGGACACACCTAACTGAATCATCTACTGGGAGAGCCCTTGACTGTCAAAGTGGGACAGTGTACCACACCTGAACTCAGGAGGCCATGTGATATCTATTCCCCAAGACTACAGCGCTGATGGTCATTTTAATTTAGAACAGAAACTGCATCCATGCACAATCTTAGTAGCTCCAGTATTGTTTAGTGTAGACAGTAGATGCTATAAAACATACTGTACAACTGTGGGAGAAAATACTGTACGTAACCACAGTGACACTCACGCATACTATATATATATTGTATGTACACCAAATCTTCAAACAACACACCCTTGAACCCCACACAGAGGCTCTACTGATAAAGACACCCATATTCTCATTATACAGACAGACACATATTAGCATATACTCAGAGCTTAAATGTATGCCAGAAGCAATCCCCCAGACACTCCAGTAGGACGATTAAAAAACAGCTCTCTTCTCGCACATCTGCACACACACACACACACACACACACACACACACACATTATAATAGTCGTTTTTGTCCTTATTTCACACACAGCTACCTGCTGAGGAATTTCTTGTTGTAACACCATAGGTTTTATAATATGAGTATATACGTACATACATGCTTTTTTTAAGCCATCACAAATATCGTTCTTCACAGTCTTGTGTGTATGAGTGTGTATTTGATGCGTAGGTCTTGTGACACATGGTCTCAGACAGAATGTGTCTGGAGGGAGACAGAGTCTGTGATGGGTAGGACCAAAAACAAGTGATGCATTACTGAGAGGCCCAGGAAGTTCCAGCTGGCGACTGCTATTACTGGGTGTGTGTCTATGCGTGTGTTTGTGTGTGTATGTGAGTGTGGAGGCCCAGCGGGACTGTGTGGGCAAACCCGGCTGGAGTGTCTGGAAAAACTCTATGGAGTGACAAAAGCAGCAGTGTCCCTTGCAGCATAACTGTCTGCTGCCTTGGCTGCAACACTTTACTGCCTCTTAGAACGCAACAGAAATTAAACCATAAAAAGTAGGCTGAGAAAACAACAATTACTCTACTGTCTTAGTCACTGAAGGTGGATGTATGTCTGTGTGTGCACCAGTGGTGGAAAGTAACCAAGTACATTTACTGAAGTACTATACTGAAGTACAACTTTGAGATATCTGTAATTTACTTGAGTATTTTGATTTTGTGTTACTTATGCAAAACAAATAAACTTCACTACATTTTAGAAGCAAATATTGTGTTTTTTTTCTCCACTATACTTATTTTATCATTTTAGTTACTAGTTACTTTTCAGAATCAGATTAATGCAAAAATTACAGTATAATCATAAGATGGTGGAAATTTTACAAGATACCCAGCAGTAATTAAAATTATACGCATATATGCTAGTTACAACTTGCTCCACCTTTACCAGCTGCAACATTAAATGTAATGAACATAATAATGTATCAGTAATTATATTCAAGTCATATGAAATACACTAATGTTAAAATGTGCCATTCTGCATAATAAGTATTTTAACTTTTTCGTATGTTTTGATGCTAATACTTTTACTTAAGTAAGAGATCTGAGTACTTCTTACACCACTAGTATGCACATATATGCATGTGGTCTGGTCTTGTATATCACATTTCTACACTTTACAGCACATTCAAAGTGCTTTCACGCTACTTGGCCATTCAACCATTCACACTCATAAACGCTCACAAGGGAGCAACTGGGGGTTCAGTGTCTTGCTCAAGGACACTTCAACATGTTGACTAGACAAGCCAGGAACTGAACCGATA